GGCAACGTGTTGTCAGTCTGAAGTTGTCGTCTGGCAACGTGTTGTCAATCTGAAGTTGCCGTCTGAAGTTGTCGTCTGGCAACGTGTTGTCAGTCTGAAGTTGTCGTCTGGCAACGTGTTGTCAATCTGAAGTTGCCGTCTGAAGTTGTCGTCTGGCAACGTGTTGTCAGTCTGAAGTTGTCGTCTGGCAACGTGTTGTCAATCTGAAGTTGCCGTCTGAAGTTGTCGTCTGGCAACGTGTTGTCAGTCTGAAGTTGTCGTCTGGCAACGTGTTGTCAGTCTGAGTTGTCGTCTGGCAACGTGGTGCCAGTCTGAAGTTGTTGTCTCGCAGATTGCTGCCAGTCTGAAGTTGTCGTGGTCTGAAGGAACAATCTTGAAGTTGGTCAACCTTCTCGGTTCAGTCAGGCCTGGAATGGTTGACGACAGTTTGATGTAAGACATGAAAATGTTTTTACTCTCCGACACGCTGACCTTTGAAACTCCGACATGTTTCTGCGTTCAGCGCCTCCTCGGGGAAAAGCTCCGACTTGTTCAACCTTTAGCTGTTTTAACAGCTGAAAGTTGACGTCAGCCCGGTGGCTCGCACGTCCTAAATGCAATAAATGAGAAAGGTGCATAGGAGACGGGTCGTTTCTTACCTCTGATAAAGGTCAAAGGTCATTAGGACAGCAGCAGAAACATCGTGCTGTAAACTCTAAATCATTTAACGTAACACCTAAACCAGAAACAAAACGGAACACTTCCTGTTTCACCACGTGGACGGTTTCTGCTCTTCAGGATGAAATGTGGAGAAGCAGCAACACAACGTTTCTGAAAACCTTCAGCTGCATGTTTGATTTTGAGTTTCTTCACGTATGAATGATCAAAATAACGTTTGTCCTTGAAGATGATGTCTCTGATGTCCTCCTGAGTTCGTCCCTCACTGCTCAGTTTCATGCAAAGTTTTAATGTTACATCAGCGCCCCCCTCCCCCCACCAGCTCCTGGCCATCAGCCTGGAGTCTTTAGGAGGACTGATGGGAGCCATCATGTTCGTCACGAACTGCTGAACGCTAATAAAACACATTAGGGACGACAGGAGGACTTCTATGGCTCAGTTTTCCTCCACTTCATCCTCACCCTCTGGCAGGATCTGAGCTCCCAGGACCCAGCTGAAGGTCAGAGACCAGCGGTCCTGAAACCAGTTCAGTCGGACTGAAGCTTCATTTAAACACGTCTCACTTGACCAGAGGGTCCGAGTCAGTCCTCACATTATTCACCGTGAGGCCTGAACACAGCCAGGAGGCTTCATGTCTGATGCCTGCTTCCACTTCCTGTCAGCTGCTTCCGCTTCCTGTCAGATGCTTCCGCTTCCTGTCAGCTGCTTCCGCTTCCTGTCAGCTGCTTTCGCTTCCTGTCATGTTTATTCAACCTTTATTTCTACAGGTAAATCCCATTGAGCCTCGAGGACTCATTTACAAGAGAGACCTGATTTCAACAAAGAAAGATGACAACAGAAGCATAAAGATTTTTTTATAGAAATTAAAATAAGATGGCCAAAAAAGTAACAAAAACATCTAGATTATAAGGCGAATGTAGAAAAAACAGGAACATGTCTGAATTGTTTTTTCCAGGAACTTATCAGATGTTTGAAGCCACTTAGAGAGGTCAAAGGTCGAGAGCTTCAGATCTTTTTACAAGATGTTCCAGGAAACAGGAGCGGAGTAGGAGAAGGTCCTTTTGTCTAGTTCAGTCCTCACTGAGGGAACACTGCAGGTAATGATGTCCTGAGAGCGCACGCTGTAGCTGCACTCACACAGAGACATGTAGGAGGAGATGTATGAAGGCAGCAGACCAAGAAGTGATTTAAAGATGAAAATGTCTCCTCCTATTCCTCCGGAATATCTTACAAAAAGATCTGAAGCTCTCGACCTTTGACCTCTCTAAGTGTCTTTTTAAGAATCTGTTGGACTCCTGGCAGGGACCAATGCAGACATGTTCCTGTTTTTAGTTTTCTACATTTGTCTTAGAATCTAGCTGTTTTTTGTTTTGTTGTTGTTACCTTTTCCTTTTAGCCATCCTATTTGTAAAAAAAAACTAAAAAAAAACTGTAGTATGCTTTTTTATAACTGTTTATTGTTGTTGCTGTTGTCCATTGTTGTCATCTTTCTTTGTTGAAATCAGGTCTCTCTTGTAAATGAGTCCTCGAGGCTCATTGGGATTTACCTGTAGAAATAAAGGTTGAATGAATGAAAAAAAAGATGAAGATGTACCAGTGAGAGAGTCTGTGTTAATGGTGACCAGTTAACCAGTGAATACTGGGTGCAGTGGTGGGTACGATAATCACAGCCAGTTATGAATCTTAGTGTACCATTATAGACAGCATCCAACATCTGCAGCATCCAACATCTGCAGCATCCAACATCTGCAGCATCCAACATCTGCAGCATCCAACATCTGCAGCATCCAACATCTGCAGGGTTCTTGTAGGAGCGTTCATGTA